AACAATCTTTTGAAGTGCTATGTGCTCTACAATAGTGATCACCAGGTTCATTGGACATCTTGTAAACTGTGAGGTACAGTAGGGAAGGATTTTCCTGAAAGTGTGGACTGCACAAGGCTCTCTACAAACCAATTCAAATGTTGCATGTAGATGTGCTGTAAAACTTCATCTTGAATCCGACAACCAAGAGACAGATTCACTAAGACCTCCGTCCAAAGAGCTTTACTGAAATATCTGACAAATAGAAACAAATATTTAATGGACAGATTACAGCTCTCTCAAGAGGCCTGTAAAAGTAACATGATATCTTGGAGCTTAAATTTTGGGAAGAAACAAAGTAGTATGTGACCTGTACATTGTACTCCCTTTAGTATAATAACTGATGAAAAATAAATTGCTTGTAACAAACACCATAGGAATTATTGCATATTAGGAATATATAAAATAACAGGAATGAATTATCAAATAATGTCGAACAAATTTTCCTTCTGATTAAGGGAATGCAAAGTACAGTATTAACAGAAGCTTTTGCTTTAAAAACTAATCTTCATGCAAAGTTATGAACACAAACCTGTTTCCTTGAATTTACAGGCTCCTGTTTGTTTGGCCTGTGGTCAATGTACCAGTTTTTATTTATTATTAGTTATATTGTTTTAGTCAAACACATTTCATTGTTCTGTTAAGATGCCATTATTGTACTCAACACTTCCCTAACACAGTGTCACTCCATAGAGAACCATGGAACTGTATGTGAAAGCAGAAAGGAGGAAATTTTGAATTTTCATTATTGTTTGAAATGCTTGCTCACTGTCTGCCATGGAGTGTCTCAAAATGATACGTGTGAGGATATATGTTTTGTTTGCCTAAATGTGATAGCATTTAACACATGATTGTACTTCTTTGGAAGTATTACCAGGGAAATATCTAAGAGGATATTTTAACCCTGTTACCTGAAACTAGGCATTTCCCACTTTTGTTTCAAAATACTGTATATCAGTGACGACTTTCAAATGTACATTCTTAGCTATGTATTTCTTAGTGTGCATATCTTGATCTTGATTAATGATTAATGTGCTCAACTATTTAACACAATATTACTTTTTCATACTTATAAATTGACAGGTAACTTGGTGTTTTTTTTTTTTGGAACAAAACTGTACAAATAACTGATTACTGGAATATACTCTTAGAATCATTTAGTATTAATACTCTGTTCACTTGAGTAAATCATGCAGTATCTGTTCAAAAATATACATAATATATGCAATAAATATACTATTGCATGAATAATATATTATAGAATGTATTTCAGAATCATACAGGTTTTGACTCTATGCAAGTCAGATTGTAAAATTTCAAAACCAAAAACCACTTTTTGATATATTTTGCAAAGAAAAGTTTTTTTTTTTTCTGTATGATAATGTTCTACCATGTCTTATTTTATATTAAGTATCTGTATAAGTGGTTTGCTTCTGATGGCTAAAACTGTTGTACCTGGAGGGGCACTATCCAGGATTACTTGTTTAACATTAACTATTATTATTAAAATGTCTTTGAATATCATGTTACTTCTTCTCAGATATTCCGGCAGAATCATTCTTTGTAATATCCCACACCATTAAATTTTAAAAGCAAGGCTATTTTTAGGGAGGTTGGAGTTGGGGTGCAATAGAAGAGGCTAGAATTATAAGTGCCATCTTGTTTCCCTGATGCAGCCTGAGGCACCACAGGGGGGCAGCACAAGCTGTATCCATTAGACTGGGCTTGTCGTTGGTGTCAGTACAGAGCCAAACATCCAAGGAAATGTTTCACTTACCGGCAGAGACCTAGGCCTATTCACTTAAAAAAGATCAGTGGTCTTGTGGTTAAAGTATCTGCCCTGACACCAGAGGGCTGTGGGTTCAGTTCCTGGCCAAGTCATACCAATGGCTTTAAAAAGTGCCACCTGCTGCTACTCTGTATGGCACTCAGCTGAGTCTAACTAAGAGATAGACTAGGCACAAGTGCTATGAAACAGACAGGCATTCCTTCCTGGTTTTGTGCCTGTACCTGAAATTGTGTCATGTTACCAAAATCAATGTAAACTGTGAAACTATAGCCATTTTGGCTTGGTCCATGTGTTATGTGATGAGCACCATATCTTATGAATACAATTATAAAGCAAAAGCCTGTGGTGAGACATCCTGTCACCACCAGCGTCTCTCCATAAGGTTGTCGGTGACGGATCAGTCTGTTTCTAACATGCTGCCAAGCCACCTGTGTGGAAATGTCAGTGACTCCTGCAGGTATCAAATGGTAATGTCCTGACATCATTGTGCATCACAGTCATCCAGGTTATCAGCAATGCATCATTCAGACTTGTCAACCTTTCAACCTCTCCCTACCCAAAATACTCAGCTGAGGGACAGCTGTGCACTGCCATGCACCCAAAAATTGTTGGTGGGAGGGGGGGGGTCTTAGTTAGCTAATTCATTGAATTGATTCTGGTTTACCAGTCAATTTTATCAATGAAACATGATTATGTGTCACAGAGTGCTTAACTAAAGATCTTTAACACAAATTTCATACAGGAAATGAATAAAAATGGTGTTTTACCTGTGTGTGGTCTGTCAGGGAGGATTATCTGTCTTTCTGTCACTTCAGAGAACAAAATTACTACTTGTCAGCAAAGACACACAATAAGTGCCAATCCATCTCTGAAAATTAGCTTTATCCCTACACAAAAGGAAAGTAATTATATTTTTATAGAATCTGCTAGTAAGATAGTCTAGATTGCCCAGGGCAGCTTTCTTTAATTTAATTTGTTCTCTCTGGTATTAATGTATACAGCTCGACATGTACATTAAGTACCGTTGTTTTAGTGCACAGTCATGATGCCACATTTGGAATTTGAACCAGCAACCTTTCAATTTCAGGCTCAATTCTTGAATCATTACATGTCACTACTTTTACCAGATAGCTAGATTTAAATCTACCTTCCAGTAACACCACAGCTTCCAGTCACTGAAATTCTATGTCAAATCCTGCGCACACCCCCAACCCCCACGTGACTGCAGAAACCGCTCTGTTGGACTGTTTATATTTAGAATCTCCTGCCAAGAACAAACCACCCCATTGGACATCGCCCCTGTCACTCAACGAGTCAGTGGTGGTCTTTATAGCTCACATTGGGGCGAGCGTGTCTCTAGCCAAATTTAACCCCACAGAAGAAGGGTAGGCAGGGGGGGAGCAGGGAGGAGGATTGTCAACACAGGCCTCCGCTGGCAGTACTTCAGCTGAAGCTCTGTGGGGTGAGGGAAGACTCTCACTCTCTCCTGCGCTGGATAACTAAGTCAAAACTACTGAAAGCTGACATCATTCGCTCGGCAGGGTGCTGTGACCAGAAGTGGGCCCAGGTTTCGTTCCCATTCAAGGACATGGCCTCGCCGGGAGGGTGCAGCCTGGCCATGTCCCCTCTGTAGGCGACCTGCTTGGGGGAAGAGCCGCTGCAGGAGATGAGCCCTATGACAAGGTGGGTCTTCTCCTTAAGTCGTTTACTGCTCTCCAAAGACCATTGCTGCACATGGGGGTAGGGGGCTACTCAATCAGCTGTAAGCTGGGAGAGAAGCAGGTTTGTTTACTGAGCAAGTGTCTGATCCGAGGTCCAACTTTGCATAAAGCTTTTAGAACAATGGAGTACAGTTGGTATACATTATAGATTACTGAGACTACACCTCCTTTGCCCATACAGACTGACTGCAAATTATGAATAAATAAATAAATACATAAATAAATATCAATCAACAAGTCATATGTAAACCATTGAAAAACATCCACAGCAGTTCAGAAACAGAATATATTGGGCATTAACTTTTTTGCAAGTATAATTAGCTGTTGAATAAGTAGTGCACAGTGTTGGAGGTATTGCTTTACAGCCATAACACCTATCCTTCCCCTTGCATTTGTCCTGGTTGGAAAACCAACAGGCTGCTCATAGTGTTGGATTCCATTGCAGATTAGCGGCCTACACCTTCATGGTCGGAGTTACAGTGGGGTATTTACTTCTCAACATGTGCAGCTGTGAGGAATTCCTTGGTCGTTTTTAATAGTAATGAGGCTTTTAGCCTTTATGCACTGCAGAAAGAAGACCTTTCAATTTCATTTGATTGACAGTGAGTTAAATGTTTTATACACACATGCACATGCACATGCACACACGCACACACACACACACACAGAAACACAAACACAAACACAAACACACAGTGTATAGTTTCTGACAGACACCTGTCAGACAGAACCAGTTTCTTTTCATTGAGAGGGCCAAGTAAAGAGTTACCTTAGGGCAGGGTGTCAACCAATGACATCCCTCACACATACTATTAATACAGGTACTTTGAACCGATTCAACCTAACCGCAATGTGCTTTAATATAGGTGACAAATTCTTCTTCTAATAAGACCTTTATTTAAATTTATTACCCTAAGGCTAAGAACATAGCCCATTGCAGTTATAATAGACTGAATCTAAGCCTTTTTTTGCAGAATGCTATAATGTAGTAGCTGAACAGGGCAAAAAGTGCCTCTGTACCTGGTTCACTCTACTACCAAAAATGCAGTCTATTTAAAAAAAGACTTCATAAAATCACTGTCGTTACTGCAGCTGTAACTGCCTCTGTACACAGCCAGTAGATTCACTCTAGATTATGAATGAAATGACAAGTAAGGATGGGCCGAATCACCTTATCTCACCATTATATTGTTACAGTCTCACGTAAAATGCGGAGACTACTCTCTTATAACATAAGATGGACACACATTTAATCTGTTGCTTGTTGTATGTTCATTTAGTTCATTTTTGGAATTGATATTTACATTACTTTGCATTATGGTCGTTTAGCAGATGCTGTTATCCAGAGCAGTTTACATATATTGTCATTTTTACATGTCAACCATTTGTACAGCTGGATATTTAATGAGGCAGTTGTGGGTTAAGTACCTTGTCAAAGGGTATAGCAGCAGTGCCCTAGCTGGGAATCGAACCAGAACCTTTTGGATACAAGCTCTGTGCCTTACCACTATGCTACACTGCCACCCCTTTATGTTTTTATAAAGAGGGTTTGTTATTAGTTATGAATGCTTGAGACACCTGTGCTTACTACACCTGGTGTGCATACCTGCATAGTATGTCCCTAATCAATCACCTTAGATAAGTTTCAGATTTTTTCACATGCTTGTTTTGTCTGGATTACGATTGTGGAAGCTAATATTTTTGGGAGGCAGGTAGAACCCAAGGCTTCTCACTCTAGGGGAATTTACCCAACTAATCCAACACTGCTGCCTGCTGGACAAATTGTGTAACATACACATGCATGGGTCTTATGTCTCACACCATCAGATAGGGAGCTGTCACCATATGTTCAAAAATACAGTCTGCATGTGGGTGCATCTTGAACATTTCAAGAAACTAACATCATTGGTACACTGTACAGCCTATATACCCTAAATTAAAAAAGGGTATTTTGGTGACTCTCTCTATCAGTTTGTACCCATGTAATCTTCCTCCCTGTTTTGCTCTCAAACCTTAAAACTTATGATTTCAGACTTCTTGAATCTAATTTCAAACCAAAATAGGGGTTCTGGACCACAGTGACGGAATGTCTATACCATCATTTCATTCGCCATAGCAGACTACAGCACCAGACATACAGTATATCAAAAATAAAGTATACTGGTGCATGTACCTTCTTCACAGTGCTAAAAACATAAACGATGATCGCTTGCTATATAAACTTCAACAGAAATGTGTGAATGTCATTAAGATCTAAATCTGGGAGGTGTAAAGGATACTGCACTAAGCATCTATTACTTTAATTGAAACCCCATTACATGTCATTCAGTCTGTGAGTACACAGTACACACAGGCTATCACAGGCCTAATATTTTGATAGTTTAAGAGGTACCAGGACTCAAAACATCCAGCCAGTCACAATCCTATTCTGGGTTATGGTTCTCTTGGTTATAGGATAAAAAGAGAAAACAAGGTGGGCCAAATCTATTAACATCCAGTACAATGTGCACAATGATTTTGGTTGCAACTTTTGCTTATATGTGGACAAAACTGTATCACTTGGCTAAGACTAAGCATCAGAAATAGAAATTCTTGCTATAGGATATTTCACAGGACATATATGTTTACTTCTGCTTGACTCACATGAGCTTCAGGCCAGCCTACTATTGTATATGCTAACTGATCAACATGTTTCTGGCCAAGGACAATTTGCTGTGCAATTAGCTATAATGTGGCATAATCTTGTCGCTAATTCTAAAACTGCATATATTTCAAAATCCACAAGTACTGTTCCTGTTCCTTCAAAAGATGTGCTTTTCTGCCTTGTGGTGACAAAATGACACAACAAGTAAGATGAAATTCAATTTTATGTTCTAACAAGGAGGCAGTCCCTGTTTCTGGCACTCCCTTTCATTATAGTTCTGCTGTAAATTGTTTTATCATGCAAAGTCAGAGGAGAGACAGTAAAAAATGGATGATGAGAAAATAATGTTTTCTTCACCTTGTTTTCATTTGTTGTATTGTTGGTTTCATTTAGTAAACTCATGAGGGTGAGCAAAAGATTTATTTATATTGCCTTTTGAATGTGTACCCTGCCTTGACACCCTGTCACTAAAATAAACACCTGTCCAAAGCCAAGATTTGCTTCTTCCTATTCTTGGTGTCCTGTCAATACTACAAATCACAGTGTGGGCCACAAAACTGAATATTTATGTTGTACTTCATGTTTAATTATGTTCAAATATACAAATATTTATACAGTATAAATATCTTATGAAAATTTTACTTGTTCCCATAGTTTAACAGAATTTGTGCAAAAGTTTCATGCAAAAAAAGCTTGTGAATAACTTTGTAAACTCTGCTGCTAGCTGCACAGGTAGTGTTTGGTGTAGTCGAAGTTCACCGTAAGAAAAACCCATCTCATCAGTGTCACTAACAGTCAAGTTAAAAAGTCATCAAAAAGTTCATACTATATGTGAGAACATAAAGTAAAGAGAAATTGCTCGATTGGATGAACCAAATAACCTTTATAAACCTTTACAAAGCACCTTTTTATTGCCCATCCTAACACTTACCCCTGGGATTGATTCACAAGAAAGTCTTTACAAGACTGTCAGAGATATGCAATTGCCAGTTCATAAACCAACAATTACTTTCAATCTCCAGTTAGACGCACATATGAAATGGAAGAGTAAATGTCAGGTACACTGCCATTGATTTGTTTTCAGAGGACAGCACTTTTGCATTGCCTGTTACTGTACAGTAATGACTAAGGTCTCTGGGTTGTGTCTCCCTCTCCCTGCAGAGGCAAGCCTGAGTTGGAGTCACGATGGCAGATTGGAACCTGCTGGGAAAGCTTTTGGAGAAGGCCCAGGAGCATTCCACTGTGATTGGCAAAGTCTGGCTGACTGTCCTCTTCATCTTTCGCATCCTGGTGCTGGGAGCCGCCGCCGAAAAGGTGTGGGGTGATGAGCTGTCGGGCTTCACCTGCGACACCAAGCAGCCCGGTTGCCAGAACGTCTGCTACGACAAGACCTTCCCCATCTCCCACATCCGCTTCTGGGTGCTGCAGATCATCTTCATCTCCACGCCCACCCTCATCTACCTGGGCCACATCCTGCACCTGGTGCGCATGGAGGAGAAGCAGAAGCAGAGGGAGAAGGAGCTGGCGCAGTTGGCGCAACATGCGCACGGGCACGCCCTGCTGCCCGAGGGCAAGGCCAAGAAGGCCTCCGTCCGGGACGAGCAGGGCCGAATCCGGCTGCAGGGGGTGCTCCTGCGCACCTACGTGTTCAACATCATCTTCAAGACCCTGTTTGAGGTGGCCTTCATCGTGGGGCAGTACTACCTGTACGGCTTCGAGCTCAAGCCGCTCTACACCTGCGACCGGCCGCCGTGCCCCAACGTGGTGAACTGCTACATCTCGCGGCCCACGGAGAAGACCATCTTCATCTTGTTCATGCTGGCGGTGGCCTGCGTCTCGCTGCTGCTCAACCTGGTGGAGATGTACCACCTGGGATTCAAAAAGTGCCGGGAGGGGATCAGGTACAGGAGGGCGCACCTCGCGTCCGAGGCGGGATCCAAGGCGCCCAGCGAGGCCGCCGTGCCGTTCGTGCCCAGCTACAACTACTTCCCCCAGCACCACCCTGGCCACGCCATGTACCAGCCCAGCCCCAGCTACAACCTCTCCCCTCTCAACGAGCCCGACTCCGCATGTCACCCCTACAGCAGTAAGGCGGTGTCCAAGCAGAACCGGGACAACTTCGCCGTGGAGAGGAACGGCAAGCCGGAGGAGAGCGACTCAAAACCCACAAAGGGGTCGAGCTCGACGCCGGGTTCGACCCCGGGGTCAACTCCGGGTTCCCCGGCCGAGAAGCAGCGAAGGACCAGCCGGTCCAGCAGGCATAGCAACAACAGGACCAGAGTAGATGATCTGAGGATCTGAGGGCTGACTTTCAACAGGGGCACACTGAAAAGCCAGAGTTGCTTACCTTTCCTTATGGGCTTTTTTCTTGAGGTATCCACAATGTTTGGCACTTAAACTGAGAGCCCTCTGTTTATCACAGTCCTGGTAAAATGCAGGATGTATGCTTTACATTACAGACATTGTGGTTAGAAACCACCTGTACTGTTGGCAAGGAGCAAAAAGGCATTTTGTTTAATTTTTGAACTCCTGTATTTGTTTTGTGGCTGGTTCCATCTGACTATTAAATGATTTTACTTTTGAACAATTTGGAAAGACAAGCATTCAGATGTCTTCCATTCTTACCTGACAAAGCCAGAATACTGTCAGACTCATTTTTTGATGTTCTAGAAGAAGCTGCTATTTTTATTGCCAAAAGTTCTGTAGCAGTAGTAGTACTTGCATGTTTTTTTCACTCTCAAAAAACTGCCAGCAACCAAAAGTTTAGTCATTGAAATACAGTAACACCAAAACCCCTTAATTCCTATGCAACTTAAGTAACAACTGGAGCTCCTTGGTTGAACCAGGAAGAAGCACACAGGTTGTGGCCTCTCTTGTGAAAGATGGTCTCTGATATGGAAATACACAACCTCAGCTGTTTGCATATTACTCAATGCTCTCTCACAATGTGTTAACAGAAATGATGTTGTTGACAACGACATCATTTCTGCTATCTGAGCATACCTCATGCTTAATACATATCATTTTAGACACAGATTAATGGAGGATGGTGAACTTCAAATAGCAGAGCCAGAGAACTTGATATTTGATAGCCAAAATGAATGTGTTTGTAATTATTCTGTACAATTAGACAGCATGGAAATACAAAAAGTCATTAGTTGAGTATTAAATTTGCTTTGCAGCATCTAATGTCAATTTTAGACATTGTGTTATGTGAACTTTCAACTCGATATTTATAGTGAGAAAAATGGGTTTAAGTTCCAGCTCAAGCTGATGTCTTTTTCTTAAATAAAAATTTTTTTCTCTGTTATGCAGTAATTAAGTTGAGTGTGCAAAGGTTCTACAATGTTTCATTAGACACAGTCAAAAAAAGGAATCGGCTGTTGATGGGTAGGTGATTCTTACTGAAAGTAACAAGCTTGTAAATCATGAAAAACAGTCAAAAATGCCCAAAGCAGATATTTTCTTAATCATCTGCCTCTCCTATTTCTTGCTCTTGGGCCACCACCTAACTGACACACAGATATAGATTAGCCTGGGATGACGCTCCAGTCTGTGACTCAACCTCTCTCTCACGCTCACACCCACAACGGCGCCTGGAAAAAAGACTTCCTCCACTCTAACCCTTCGCGCACACATCTACACATCACTGGCACTCTCTCAAAGTGTTGTATAAGAGCCTGGGAATCCCTGGGGTTTTCAAAACTGAAGTAGGCCACAGAGAACAGTGATGCCAAGTTGCCAGGTGGACTTGCATCATTGATTGTGGTACCAGGTATTTTACACAAAGGCAAAATTCATTTCTCATTCAGCACTGCATGCTGACCACCACACTGACGAACAATTCAATACCTTTAGTGAACTGGGGAGCAGCATGA